TCTCTCTCTCTCTCTCTCTCTCTCTCTCTCTCTCTCTCTCTCTCTCTCTCTCTCTCTCTCTCGTCGTTGTCCTTGCAGGTGCGCGGTGTCTCCTTCCAGCGGCGCAGCTATGGCGGACCCTCCTTCTTCAACAGCGCAGCTGCTGCTATGGCGCCCAACTGGCGCGCGCCTCCTTCCTGTTGACAGCAGCGATGGCGCATGGAATAGCGGGAACCTACTCCGATACCAATGCAATCAGACTTGCCTTCTTCTATGTTCAGCATGCATGCAAACGGAGGGCCAACCACACTGGCGCTAGGCGCCCACACAAAGCTCAGAGATATTCAAGCCGAGAACACAATCCGGATACAAACTTGCTCCGAATCGGCTATGGCGTCTGAGCGCCTACACATCTCGCTTCCAACACTGTATTCACACTGTTCACACGCACACCACACTGGATCTCCCTGGATATCCCATGCACTCTCACTCTGTATCGTACCCACACACACACACCAACACTGGAAACTACCTCTAGGCTATGGCGGCTATGGCTGTCATCTAACACTTACTACTAGCAGCGATGGCTGCTCTATCTCCCTCGTGGCCCACTTCAACTTCGGGCATCTGCAGACCACCTCGAACAAGACGCCTGGGCAGCGCTTCCGCATGGCTCACGCAGAATGAATGAATGGCTGGATGCTGCCTCTTGATTTATACTTAAGTTGGTCGCTGGTCTGCCCCTTTCCACACACAGTCCCACATGGTATTTGCTGACTGGACAAAGTGAGACTGGGACTGGGTACCGCTGACTAAGCAAAGTTGGACTACCCACTTGCCCACTTGCCTCTGGTCTAACGTGAGCAACACTCGAAAGGCCAGTTCCGGACCTTCCGGAAGTCTGTGGACTTGGCCTTTCGGGACTGTAGCAGCTACGACCTTGACCTTTCAGGACTGTAGCAGCCACAACCTTGACCTTTCAAAGTCGCAACAACTACGACCCTTACACAGCTATGACCTCTACTCGACAGACCTACAGTTCAAGACCCGACAACTACACAGACCTACGATAGACAACAGTCGGCTACCAAAACACAGGTCACGGGTTCAAACCACACAGGGGTCTACCTAATACTGTACATGGGCGAGGTAAGGTCTAGGGATCGAGCCCTGGGATCTGCATCTGTTACCGCCAAGGTGAAAACCGTTTCAGTGGTCTTTACAATTGGTTGTTGAAGCATTTTCAAACCTGTTCTGCATCTCTGGGCTGGGATCTTCAGAAGATCCTAACATCCTGTTGAGTACTGTCTTGCTTAACGTGAAGAACCCCACATACAAAATGGATGACCACCTGCACACCTTGCTTGGATGTCTTGAAGTCGCATTGGCATTTATATTTAGGCTTCTGTTTCGTTGGAATCAGTGGCAGTGTCAGTGAATGTTAGGTCGTATGGCCAAGCTGTTGAATGTATATGTCCTGCTGCCGGGCCAAGCATGTACTGCTTTCTCTTGGACCGTCTGACACTGCTATGCTGAATTTTGGATGATGTTGCTTTCATCTCTTGAATAAGAGTGCAATGCTGGTGTTTTGATTTATTTTTTTTCCCTCTGGTGTTTTGAATTGAACATACCCGTTTGCGTTTTGCTGGCTTTAGGTAGTGAAATGCCTTTTTTTTGTGTAAGTGTGAGTGATTAGCTTTTGATCGTTGTCAGTCTCTTCCTCCATGTTTGTCTGTACAGGATGCAGAACGGTTGAAGCTAGGACCTCCTGACTCATTTCATTATTTAAATCAGAGCAAGTGCGTGGAAGTGGGAGCTATTGATGATTGCAAGGAGTACCAACTCACGCGGGAGGCGATGGATATTGTGGGCATCACTACAGAAGAGCAGGTAAAAGCAGAGGTTGAGGATAGTATTTGTCACTCCAAAGACGATAGGTGGAGCTGTCTTACCAAGTTTGGAATCCATGCAGAGCAGTTCATTTGCTCTCCAATGCTCAGAGTCTCTTGCAACCGTTGCATAAAGAAATTGGTCGTATTCTCTAGAGGTCTCCTTAGGTAGGGATGTTAGTCTATAGGGGGAGTGGGATGGGGTGTTCGGGGAAAAGGGTAGGGGGAAGGGATTCCTAGAGGTCGGATGCCCGAGCTCAGTATTTATATGAATTATATCTATGATTTATATGAATGATATTTAGTATATATTTATTATTCTCCATATTATATTATTCTAGAATTATATCTTTTTATCTGTTTTGATTTTTCTATCTATATTCTAATAAATACATTGTAATTTATAATGATGTAATAATACTTATATTTTATATTTTAACAGAATAGAATATTGTAATTATTCTAATTGGATTGAATTCGTTTTATAGAAGAATAGTAATAGTATGAATGAAGACATTTCTCAATTAAATTAATCAAGTATTTATAGTTTATATTTATATAATTCATATTTATATAATTCATATTTATATAATTTATATTTATTCCTATTTATTTTGATAGATTTATATTTATATATTAATATGCATGAATATATAATATATATTAATATTAAAAGGGTAACCGGCGTTCGGGACGGGGCGAACGCCCGAACCCGAACGCCCGAACGTATGGGACCCCTTGGGGATGCGTTCGGCCGTTCGGGCCGAACGCGGACCCAAAAAAAAAAAGAAAAAAAAAAAAGAAAAGTCATCAAAAAAATCTGAAAAAAAGATATGTTATGGAGAAAAATAAATTAAACAAGATTTGCCTGAGCATTACATCCGAATTCCTTACCTAATGTGAAATAAAAATAAAATACAGAAAACAAATACTAATAATAAAAATAAATAAAAATAAAAAGAGAATTAAATTTAGTGAGTGTGCGAGCATGTTTTCGACACTGCCATCTTTGGCAATTTTTCATTTTTTTTTTGGCAGAGCTAAATGCCCTGAAAATTTACAGATGTGTACTTCACATAATACAAAACCCACTCAAAAAGTTTCAAAAAATAATAAAATTGTTTAGACCCCGAACTAAAGTGAAAACAAAATGTAAAAAGTGAAAAAATACGTGGGCAAGCACGTTTTGACACCGCCATCTTCGGCGATTTTTAATTCTTATTTGGCTTACCCAAAGGACTTGAAAATTTACAGGTATGTACCTCACGTCATAGAGAACTCACAAAAACAAATTCGGAAAAAAATAATTTTTTTTAGGCCCCGAAATAATTTTTGGTGGGGGCCAAACGCCGTCGGGTTCGGACCCCGACAGGACCCCGAACGCCCGTACGTACGGAGGTCTGCCCGGGGACCTCCGTACGTACGGGCTGGTGACCCTGAATATTAATATAATACAATTAATATAACAAGGGGACCCGCCGCGATGGCGGCGGCGGCGGAGTCGGAAGAGGGAGGAAGGAGTGCAAGCCAAGCATGAATCGTAGCAGTGAAGAATGGATCAATTATCCCAAAAGAAAACTGAAATTGAATGTGGAGGACAAATCGTAGCAGGGTTTTTTTTCGTCTCTCTCTCTCACACACACACACACACACGCTCTCTCTCTCTCTCTATATATAGCCTCCTGATGAGTCGGTGAAACTCCGACGAAACAGTTTGTCACAGCCCCTCGTTTGTTGTCCTCTTCTCCCTCTCTGCCTACGGTTTACCGGGCAGTTCTATTTGACGATATATATGAGTCGGTGAAACTCCGACGAAACAGTTTGTCACAGCCCCTCGTTTGTTGTCCTCTTCTCTCTCTCTGCCTACGGTTTACCGGGCAGTTCTGTTTGTGACGATATATATCAGCCTCCTGATGAGTCGGTGAAAC